AGTCAAATTTAAATGCACAAAAAGCTCTGTTGAGTCTACTTCACATTACTCTTATCGATTGGTGTTAACAAGAACCATTATCTAAAACTGTTTCGCATCCAACATAGTCGAAGTGTTTTAATTTTACTTAACAATACACCAATTTATTTGGATGCTGTAATGGTAAATTTCCCATTCTGGTTCAACTAAATGAGAAATTGAAATGAAGAACTGATTGATCAATGGGGTTTAGGTCATTAGATTGACTGGACAAGTAAAGAATATTTCTATTGACAATGAATGACAATGTAGTACAATATCATGAACTGAAAGAAATAAGAAATGTCAAACATTCGAACTCAATTCAGTGATCTGAAGGATTAGGACATTGATATCTGGTCTATAGTTCATAGATCCAACTTCTAACAAGTTCATAGATGTTCACTACTAAGGTATTAAACAATTGCCCAGTAATTCCAAGTTTTTTCAATGGTTATCTAACATATTTATAATTTTTCAGGGTTGTTGATATTTTTCACCGAATTTCAGTTGATTTTAATTAGTATGTGTGCATTTTTTACAGAGGTTTATAGATGCTGATATATCTGTGAGATGATAGTAACCGATAATCAAAAACATTGACTGACGTGGCTCAAAATTGTTTGCAATGGCGCAGATGCATCCATTCTTTATCTTCTCTCAACTACGAATTTTCTGGATTTCCCATCATTTCTATCTATCTCTTTTTAAATTTATTTAACTTGGATATACCTCTCGAATGATGTCTTCAAACCCTGACATTCTTCATTACCGCTAATACTTCTACTATCTGCACTGTTATGGAATTCGAATTGACAATTTGATCTCTATGTGCTAATGTGATATGGTACGCATGTACGTACGAAGTTCTACATTGAAGATGACTGACTGACTAATATCCAAATGACAAGTTTCAAGTAGAATGAAATATACTTTGTAAAGTCCAGTGATAGCCGAAATCCATCTCTTCTATAACAGAGTGTGTATGTGTGTGTGTGTGTGACATCATTACCAATCTATACAATCAGAGATTATTGAATACAGTAATTACCAATAGATGAATTTATAAAACAATTAAAAATCTTTTTTCTTTAAAGAAAAATCATCAAACAACAAACTAATGACATAAGATTATTTTATTTAAACATGATTAACAATGAAACAATTGAAATGATCATAACAATCACTTGGATAGAACACACAAACAGAAAAATTGTTGTCCATCTTTTATGATTGTTGTTGTTGTTGTTGTTCGTGGTGTTGTTGTTGGTTGTGGTGGTGGTGGTGCTGTTCATGATGATCATTGATGATCATGATGATGAAGCTCCAAGAGAGAAAAGGAGAAAAGAATGAAAACTTCATCAACAAGCCAATAGAAATGAACGAAAAGAAAATTTCCGAATTTCTTTTTTTTTTGAATAAAACACATATGTGATAATAAACAAACGAACTATAGTGCAGAAAAACAAAACAACAAGAAGAACACTCTGATAAATTGACTAAGTGAAGAGGAAAGATAAGTAATGAGAGGGGAAAGAAATAAACAGAACGAAAGAGATAAAAAAAAAAGAGAAATCATAATTTCTCTAGAGAGAAAAAAAGAAGAATAAACATTAGATAGACAAAAAACAAAGGTCAAATGCACTTTAACTAAGTAAAACATTTTGTATTGCATTGCATATATATATTTGTCACCTGTGTACCTTAACACATTTTTGGTACTGTGATAAAGATGTGTGTGTGTAACTAGGATCTGTAACGTGAGTGAAATAGAATCCACGCTGTCACAATGTTTATTTGTGTAATTTACCAAGTGTTATGTGTTATTCATTTAAAGTTGTTTGTATTATTTCATTGAGAAAAATGGAGGAAAACATTTCTTTCACTTCCCCTCTGTATATAGTGCATAAATGTGATTGATTGACTGACTGAGTGGCTGTGTTAATATGTACAACAGATAAATTTGTACATAACTTGTACATGTACATGTATGTATGTGTAAGTAACTGGTTTGTTTTATATTCTCACCTATGTAATTAGACATAACAAGCAGAAAAATGTTAGTTTTAATGATTATCATGAAAAATTTGTCACATGGTATCTCACACCATCATCATCATCATCATTATCCAGTTTATTTTTATCAATATCTTCTACATAGTTGTTAGTATTCGACCATAGAAATGTTTCAAAAATGGACTAGAGCGAAAACATGAAACATAATGGTTAATGTTGTGAAATGTACACGAATAGAGAGATAGATAGATAGAGGTGGTAGATGTAATGGCAATCAAAACAAAACAAAACGAAAGGAAACAATAGTGCAATCGTTTCAACATTGTTATTGTACCCACCCATTACTTTTACTTCATACAGAGGAGTAAGAGAGAGATATATATAGAGAGAGAGAACAATTTAAATAAAGTATACTCATTAGTAAACAGTGATACTGCTTATGCGGACGATGCATTCTTTCTCGTCCATACATCTACTGATATATATATGTATATGTACACAATCACTCACTCCCACACAGAGAGAGTTCTGACACGCAAAAAAAAGATGACTAGGATACACAATTGGAAATTTATACAATAATTGTTGTTAAAACTAACAGTGATTGAAAGCATAACACACACACACATAAATACACACAGAGAGACAGCATGAACAAAATTAATCTTTGTCAATTTTTTTTTTGGTAGCATCTGTATAATATTTATTTTGAATTTTTTTTTAAAGAAATGAACATTTCATCTTACCAAAATAATTTTCTTTAAGAATGATCAGCCTTTTTTTTTCTGACAACAAAAAAAGGCGTGGAGAGAAAATGTGGAAAAGTTCTTATCCTACTATTGCGACAACAATTTATTATTGTTATTCAACCGGTTTATTTGTTAGTTTATGCAATATCAATATATCTATCTATCAATGACTACATTCAAACTGGTGTGTTGATACTACTTTGCTTTTTTAAAACAAAATAACAGCAGGAGATGTAATGTAATTGTACATAGATGTAATCACTGTATATATGTGTGTGTGTGCTTGGTGCATCAGTTCATATATATACATATATGTATATCGTAACTCTTTAGATGACTTTCTTACTTCGTCTGAACAAGTTGAAACTTTGACAATGATTTTACACACACAAAAAGAAACGAAATAGAAAACAAGGTATCAGTGGGAAGTAATCAATAATAATAATAACCTATTTAAAAAAAAAGTTTCAATGAACCATAAAAGAAATCATCATGTTCATCTATACATATATGTGCATATACATATATATAAATAAGATTTTGTGATAGAAAACAGAAGAAAAAAAAGCACTCAAAAGATTATGAACAAAATATAATTATACTACTATAAGTAGTAAGTAATCTAACTAGTAAATAAGTGAGATAATAATCCTATAGCAAAAGAGAACAATGGCGACGACTTGAAATAGCTTAGTTTGAATACAGTAAATCAACTGAATTAGAAGAAGAAAAGATGATTATACGTAGGCACATAAAGTTCCATGACAAGAATACAAATGCTTTATATATATATATATATATATATATATAGATAAGGGATCAAATAAAATTATTACAAATATTGTGAGATAATGTAACTTTATGGTTGATTTTTTTTTCTCGGGTAAAACAAAACGCCCGGTATCATCATGACACACATAATATTCATTTACAGTAAAAGTTGATAAATAATAAGGTTGTTATTAAAAAACAGAAAGAGAAAAAATGAATTGATTGTTCACAGTATTATGATTGATTTATGATTACTTACTGTTGTTATTGGTCAACTACTTGTTAGTATTTTGTTGTACACAAGTAATGAGAGGAACAAAAAATGACTTTCATTATGTGCTTTGATCACAATGAAAACGATGATGATGATGATGACAGTGACTGAGGAAAAAATACAAACAATTTACTTTCAACGAGAGAGAGAGAGAGAGAGATAAGGATGAAATGGTATAATTGCAGCCTATGAAGAGAGAGAGAGAGAGAGAAAGAGTAAAAGTATTCCATGTCAAAATGAACACATATGTATATCTATTCTCTATACACATCAATAAGTGTAAACAAATTTTTAACAAGAAATAAAACAATATTTACATGATATTTGTATAAATAAACAGAAGAAATAAAAAACACAAATCCATATTGTTTTGATTGATTGTGTTTGCCACTGGGAAATGAAAATGACAAAAGGAAGAGCATAGTAGTAGTAGTACCAACCGATTAGAGTTACTGTAAAGTAAATTATACATAAACATTATATAAATTATTATTATTATTATTATTATTATTACTAATAACATGAGTATTATGATTATTATCCGCAAAGTTAAAAAAAAACACGAGAGTTACTTATCTACTTGAACTGGTGCATGTGTGTGGGTGTGTGTGGGTGTGTGAATCAATGTGAAATTCTGAACACAAATGTGTACATTATATATGTGGCAACGTATTCTACTGTTCATTCATAAGAACTCAATCTAATGTCATACACATGGAGATGCAATACTACTTAAATTGTTGGTGTTGTTGTTGTTAGTAGTACTGATCACCAATTATAAACTTCCAGGAATAATAATTCATTTACATGTAGTAGCAATTAATAAGTAGTATATATATCAATGCTAAAATAATGATGATCATGTATGACAATAAGTAATAAATAAAAAACTATGAAGAAAATAAGAGAAGGCAATTATTCAACTTTCACTGTCCAAACAAGTACGAGGCAGAAGAGAGCAAGAAAAATTTAAAATATAGCGCATGAATAATATACATAAGCATAAAATTATGAATAGTGCAATAGAATATTATATATACGATTAATGTGTATATATATATATATTTATATATATGTACAATACCATGTTTATTTCTGAAGAAAAAAAGCAGCAACACATTTCACAAAACCATATCACCATTTTTTTTTATTGTTGTTGATAAAATATTCAAGATACTGTTAATTTATGTATATAGATATTATATCATGTACAAAATTCAATGAAACAATACGAATAACTGGAGATGTGAAAACACAAATTGGTATTATATATATGTATACATGTATATATATATACATTTTATATCTCAACGATAAAGGTATACAGGAGGCTTTCATAGTGAATATTTTGTAGGATGACGTAACAAATTCGGTACAAGACGAACAGTTGGCCATTTTCTTGAAGTTGAGTTCGTTATTGTATTATTATTATTATTATTATTATTATTATCACTGTTACCAGTGCTAGTAGCTTCATCATCATGACCATCATTCTTTTTCGTCTCATCATAATGATCAGCAGTATCACAGCTATGATTAGTATTAGCTGTTGTTATCATTTCAGTAGTATTATTGATTAGTGTAGGTATTGTATCTAGAGATGTATTCATCATATCATCATCATTTATTAGTGTAGTATTATTGTTAGTAGTATCAGTAGTAGTAGTATAATTTGAATCTTCTAAATTCATTGTTAACACCGGTGGTATTAATGATACAGTGGATTTCTCGGATAGTTCTGTTATCGGATTTTGTTCAACGACTTGTTCCAAATTCAGTTCTGAATTACTACATGTGAAAAAATGAATAGTGATATGAGAAAAAAAGTTTATTTTTGAAATAATTAATTGAACGCTTAAATGAATTTTATAATGAAATGAAAAAATAACAGTGATAATCTATTTAATAAAAAATGCAGTCAAGGTTAGCAAATAAACGATCTTATATAACACTGGATTTATTACAACTGTTCATGATATTACACACTTAGGCCTGTTATCCCCAATATAGCATAGGTCACCGACCACCATTCTCCAACCTATTCTGTCATGAACCTTCCTTTACAGTTCTATCCAATTGCTGTTCAGTCTTTTCATGTCTATCTCCAATTTTCGACGTAATGAGTTCTTTTGTCTTTCTCTTTTTCATAGGCGTTGAGGATTTTAAGTCAGAGTTTGGTCTTGTGATACAGTTGGATGATTTTTGCAATCTCGTAGTCAATGAAGGTGATGATGTACAGTGGTGAATTTCATTCAACTGATTGTTCCACAATGATCCGGAGTGCCGAGATTTCGACGATACACGATCTATCCATAGAGAATCCAGCCTGTTGATGTCAAAGTTGAGTGTCTTATAAAACTTGTCAAGATATAGAATTATCTAGATTTACGCTTTTTGTATTGGGAAATCCCACTTCTATTTCCCATGACTACGCTGGTGTAGGTACAGCATTACGTTCTATGGCAGAACTAGCTCTCTTAGACTGGATCCCAGTAGATAGTCGCTTGTGCGCTGCCTGACTAAACGGGAAAATAAGGCTTCGGAAAGATAGGGACACTAGCTGTTTCCTCTTTATCTTATCTGCCTACGCTACCACTGACTATAGCTCCGATGAGGTAAAAGATGAATTTCACAGAAAGCTTTCGGACCTACTTAAAAAATTTAGGCGCCCTGAAATAGTAATAATGGCTGATGAGTTCAATGCTTGAGTAGGTAGACCAAGAGAAATAGAAAGACACGTGGGCGGATATTATGGAGTTGCGACTTAAAGAACAGATAAGTGCTGGTTGCAGCTAATGCTCAGATAACCACATATTTGTAGCAAATACTAACTTTAAGAACAAGGAAAAACACTTTTTGACATGGTGACCCCCAAAGTCGACTTAACACTGGACATAACTATGTCGCATCGCCACCACCCACCAAATGAGGCTCAATAGAGGTCTGTCGCTCATTCGGGAGCACTAGTATAGACTCAGATTATGCTCCAGGACGAGCATTAAGACGTCCCTCAATATTTGTATTTCTCGACCTTAAGTTGGGCATTTGACTCTGTCTATTGGGAGGTTCTGTGGCAGTGTCTGTCAATGAAAGAAGAACCAAAGAACTGCATCAATCTTAAACAGGCTCTCCACTCGAACACTGACAAGGAGTCATCATCCAATTCCAACACAGTTCATATTGTAAACTATGTAAATTCAATACAAAAAAAAAACTCTTCATCATGTCCACTAACACTTGCATACTATACTACTAATAAAAATAGTGTGTCAAATGAAATCAGTAAACACTCACCTTGACATTTCAATATCTGAATTCAATGAATCCATATTATTATTAGTTTTGTCTTTATTGTCATTGTGAATAGCTGACAATATCTTATCGAACTGTTGTTCACCTTCTGAACTATCAACTGTAACGCTAGTCGGTAAAGAATCTATGACCATCCCATTCATTATTACATCATCATCAGTAGTAGCAGCTGTTGTTGTTGTCGTACAATCTGTGATCATAGCAATGTCAGTAGTAGTAGTAGTAGTAACCATAACATCATTTAAATGTTGACTCGATGCTGAAGTCATAACAGTTGTATACAATGATGATGTTAAAGTTGGTGGTGATGAGCATGATATAATTATATTAGTATTATTATTATTGTTATTATTATTTGCAGGACTATCATCATCAGCTGACATAATCATGGTTGAATTGCCAATTGTTGATGAAATAATAACTCGTTCATTAGATTCTACTGTTCCAACAGCTTCTTCTTCTTCATTTTCTTCTTCTTGTTCTTCCATTTTCATAAAATTCATTTGATTCAATGTTGAATGACGATTTGCAAGAGTTTCTTGATTTGATAAACTAGATGGCGGTAATAATAAAGCTGATAATAAAGGGGATGATTGTGATGGAGTAGTTGTACACGAATTATTATTCGTTGTATGCACTAATGATGATGATGATGATGAAGATGATGTGATTAATTCTGGTGAGAAATGATTCAATTTCGGTGAATGAGATGTATGATTTAATTCCATTGTGGTGATTGATTGATGTGAAACAAATGAATGTGTTGGTGATGATAATGAAGTGGTGGTTGTTGTTGTTGTTGTTGTCTGTGCTGGCGGTGTTGGTGTTGTTGTTATTGTTAATTGAATATCCTCCATAGGCATCGGTGCATCAACTATGCTCGATAAGGATGATGTGGTAATTTTTGATGAAATAGTCTCATTGGCTATGACTACACTATCATTACGAGTGGATTTTGTGGAACCCTTGAAAAAAAAAAAGTAAAAAGGTAATTTTAAACAGTCTTATTCCATTTGAATAACTCGAACTGGAACCTCTTTTGGGGCTACCACCAGTTGAAAGCCCGGAAAAAAACAGGAAAGTTGGGAATGGAGTTAACGACCTAATTCCTTCGGAAACTAACTCGCTAAAAAACGCTAACCAGAAAAAAATAATCCGATTAATTCCATTAGAATCTAAGATACAACAGTCAAACGATATTGAATGAAAAATGATCTACACTAACAAACAGAAAAATGTATATTTACATGTTCTAAAGCTGACAAGATTTCAAATTATTCAATGGTACACGTACATTCAAGACAGGGTAAATATTACAGTTGACCAATGAGTAGAGAGTTTTTTTTGTTGCTGCATCCATTCTACATTTATTATTATTTTTATTTAGGAACTAATCTACACAAATGCACATACGTCGAAAGCCATGTGAATAATGACTCAAAAGTATGAGTTAAAATGATTTATCCAAAGGCTAAGGAGGGACAAGCCATATGGGCTCGACATTAGTATACACTACAGGCCCTTTCATCCTGGTATAGGACTGTTCCGTTGTGCACTCCATCATACTGAATGTGAGAGTTTTATGTTTTGTACTTGATGTAAAGCCAAACCACTGTACTAATGACACACCCGAACGTTAGACCCCTCCGTTCAAAAATAAGAAGACGGAAGACGTTGGAGAACGCTTATTGTCAGAATCAAAAATGTACAATCAAACATGCGTATTTATACAATTATATAAATGTCGTTAAATATTTTGAACGTGAATCAAATAGTTCATCGTGAACATTAATCATATAGTTCATCATTAATGAAATAGTTTATCATGAACATTAATTAAATAGTTCATCAATCCACAATATGCGTGGCTTTCTTCTCGATGAACTCAAGAAGTAAAATATTTACAGGTGCAATCATTAAACAGTTAATAAAAATTCGATTTAACTTAGACATCAGAAACGAGTTAAACGAAATTAATAAGTAATCAATATCACTTTTGCATATCACTTTTCCAGAGGTCATTGATATAAAATGCTTTCAACCTGACTTTCACATGCAAAACAGAAGGCGTGTGTCAACATTCAACAAACTTTATAAACCCCTTCTATGGTGTAAATTGTCATGAGCATGCTAGTGAATACTTTCTATAAATAACTATCAGAGTTCTATTAAAAAGCTATGGTAAATAGAACTAAACTTTATTGGGTGCGAGGCAGTTACCCAGTAAACAAAACGAAATTTTCGCTCAATATCTAGAATTAATTGAAATTAGACATTCAAATCCAGTGGTCTAGAAGTCGAGTCGCTTCTGATAAATCAAGGGTCTTGACTTTAATCCCCTGTGAATTCATGGATCCATAATCATGAACAGTCCCATATTACGATGAAACAACTAACCTAATTTTCAATAAATATTTAACTTCGGATCGTTAACTAATTTTCATAAGGTCTTTGTCTAAAAAGATTTTAATAACCTAATGTTTACCTACTCATAAGTAGTAAGAGTAAAATAACATTTAAACAGGATTGAAAATAAAACTGAGAAATAAATCATAGCTTACTTGATGTTTACCTCCAGTGCTATTGGGATACCAACGTCTATCAAAGAAGATAAAATCAGGAAAAAAAGTAGAAAATTTATTTATGTGAATTAAAAAAAGACTACACAGAAGAATTATGTCCAATTTTTCAAAAAACAACAAACAATAACTAATTCAAAGAGACTCTAACACATTGATAAACGCATGTATGAAATATAGAGTATTTTCTTTTACATGTAAAATGATAATTTAGCTTCAGTGCGACAGTGCATATTAGTCAGTCAGTCAGTTACAACAGTAGAACTTTGTACGTACACACATTCATCAGTTCACGTTACCATACCGCCATAAGCACACAGACGCAATTGTCTATTCAAATCCCATAATAGTCAAGGTAGTAGAGGTATTATGGTAGCAATCGGAGAGATTAGAGTTCAAAGATATTATTCAAGAAGTATAATCCAGTGAATTAGACTTAAAAAGGCAAAGACAAGGTGATGTAGAATCCATAGAATTAGGATTTGAGAGAACACGAAGAATGGAGGAACCGACCCCATTGCAAACGGTTTTCAGCTATATCATCCAAGGTTTCTAACCACCGACTACTATCATCTTGTGGACCCCATCCAGGTAGTCCACACTTACCAACATGAGTTAAGCCAGTTGTCAATGACTTCATGGATTTGTGTCATGTTTTGGTTCTGATGACAGTTGGTTCTAAGCTCTAACTCGTCCAGTAGTGTTCGAGTAGAGAGCTTATATAAGGTTAACGTACTTCTCTGCTATACCTTTCAGTGACAGACACTGCCAATGAACCTCACAATGGACAGAATCAAATGCCACTTTAAGGTCAAGGAAGACAACTATTGTCAGACGCCTATATGTGTGTCTGTATTCTAGGATTCCACAGTACATATATCAAAATAAAAATGTTGTAACGGGTTAAAATCTTCACATTTTCTGTTCTTAGTGTCGATCTCAAGATTCATTCAACCGGCAGTTTGCGGTATTCTTGACTGCTGTTTATTGCTATGTAGTGAATGAGAACACAGGTGGGGCGACCGAATTGTATTTAACGAGAATTACAGAGTTACTCAGTAAAATCGGAAAACCATATCGTAAATTGTTCATTTGCAAAATATCAGTCCATCATCCTATCGAACTGGACTGTTTCTGTTGCCAAACATCAATCCATTGTCACTATTCATGCGTTTCATACAAATCCCATTGTTTTCTAACTCTTCCTTTCTTGATCTTCCCCCCATATTATGCTACCAGACTTTACGTTGACACTCACGTTATATACTACTTAGAAGTAGTTCGCACCACAGCACCACACTCGTCCCCCCTTTTAATAAGCTGTCGTCGTAGTATTTCTGATCTCCGTACAGCCGTCTTCTTTATCAGTGTTTGTGGCTCGCCCTCTTGGCGCACTTGGAACCACCTTTGGAGTTCACTGGCATTCACGCGTTTCTGTTTGTTTCCTTTCTGGATCGTATACACTGCGCCGCGCCTCTCGGTTACTACGTACGGTCCCTCCCACTTCGGGATCAGCTTACCTGACCCTGGCCCTCTTCCTGTGGTATATTTCCGTTCTCTACACTTCACTTGGTCTCCCACTTCAAACGGTCTCCAGTTCTTTCTCTCCTGTTCTGACTTCTCCATGTCTGATGTTTGTTTCTCTCTCACATTCCTGATTGCTTGTCTCCGCTCTGTTCTCAATCTTGTTGTATTCCATCTCTGTTGTTGCGGCCAGGTTTTATCATGCGTTGGTAGTCTCGGCCGTCTGCCGTACATCAGCTGGAACGGTGACTTCCTGGTTGTTCCCTGTGCCGAGGCACGATGTGCCAGCAAGATTAATGATAATTCTTTCTCCCAGTCACCCCCTTTAGATGCTAGCCATTCCTTTAGCGTTCGGTTATTCCTTTCCGTTAACCCATTCGTCTGTGGATGATACGGCGTTGTTCGTACTCTCTTGATACCTAACTGCTTTAGACGGGACATGAACTCATCACTCTCGAAACAGGGACCTTGATCGGTTAATATTATCTTTGGTATCCCATGGTCCGCCACAATGTGCCGCATTACCGCTTCCGTCACCGTCCTTGCACGTTGGTCCGCCATCGGCACGGCATTTACCCATCGTGTGGCATGCTCAGTCATCACCAGCAGGTACTGGTTACCACTTGTCGTCTGCGGGAACGGTCCCATAACATCTGCTGACCACAAATCACCAACTGCTGTTACTGGAATCGACTGCAATGGCGGTCGTATGCATCGATCCCCTTTCATTAGTTGACATCGCTGGCACGCTAATACATATCGTGTAATATCGTCTCTCATACCTGGCCAGTACGCACTTTGACGCAGCAAATCAGTTGTCCGTGCAATACCTGTGTGCGCTACCTGGTGACATTCACGAATCATCTCCTGGCGCAGATCTTTTGGGATTATTGCTACCCAATTCTCGTCATCATCCCGCCAGGTCAGGACTCCATATGCGTTCACTCTCAGTCGTTCCTTTCGCTTAAGTAACATTATTACCTCCTTGTCCGTTGTTCGTTTGTCTACGTCTTCTCCTTCTTTTATCACTCTGATTACCTCTCGAAGGTTCGGGTCAGCTTTCTGTTGCCGGATGAGTTCTAATGGGTCTCCATCTAAACTATTCACCGCGTATGCTGTCACTGAAAGGTCATCTTCCATGTCTGATCTTGACAAGTAATCCGCCATTACATTTTCTTTTCCTGGAACATGGCCGATACTGAAGTCGTATTCTTGCAGACGTATCATCCACCGCGCCAACTTCCCTCGGGGGTCTCTTGCTGTTCTCAACCACTGCAGGGGTTTATGGTCAGTCTCAATGTGAAATCGTCTACCTAAAAGGTACGTTCTCCATTTCTCTACTGCCCACACGATTGCTAGGCACTCCTTTTCGATCGTTGAATACTTCTGTTCGGCGGGTGTGAGAACGCGACTTGCGTATTCCACCATTCTATCAGCCTGACTCAATACCGCACCTATACCATGATCACTTGCATCTGTGGCCACTGTAAACAGTTTCCCGGGTTCAGGTAGTCGCAGCGTCATCTGACGATCGTCTAGCATGTTTTTGATTCGGTGGAACGTTTGTTCGGCAGCCTGTCCATGTAAACTTGGTGTTGCTCAGCAACTTATATAAGGGCGCTGCTATTTCGTTGAAATTATTGACAAACCGACTATAGAACGCCGCTCTTCCCAGGAACTGTCTCAACTTCCTTTTCGAATTAGGTACTGCAATATTTTTTATGGTAAGAATTTTCTCTGGTAATGGCTTTATTTCTCCGTTTCCCACTTTATGTCCCAACAATATGACGCTGTTTTTCGCTATCTGCGACTTTTCCTTATTAATTCGAAGCCCAAATTCGTCAATTCGCTTTAAGACCGCTTCCACATGCTTGACGTGATCTGTTTCCGTCAGGCTGTATACAACTACATCGTCGCCATATACCTCAACATTATCTAGATTCTTAAGCAGCAGCGTCATCAATCTTCTGAACGTGAACGGTGCACCAGCCAACCCGAACGGCATTCGTTTAAATTGATATTGTTTATCCCGTATAGTAAATGCTGTCTTTTTGCGTTCGCTATCTTTTATAGGTAGTTGCCAATAACCTGACCGTAAATCCAGCACTGTAAACACCGTGGCATTCTGTAATCGATCTAATGTTTCTACTACTGTTGGCATTGCGCACGGTTTCAGGTCTGTTATATTATTCAGTTCTCTAAAGTCGACGCAAAATCTATACTTTCCATTGGGTTTCTTTACCAAGAGTACCGGTGAGCTATACGGGCTGTCTGCTTCCTCAATTATACCTTCCTTCAACATTTCCTGGACCTGTCGATTTACCTCGGCCTCTAAATGCACCGGGACACGACGTGTTGTAAATATATTTACTCGGTCGTTCTTTATAGGAATTTCATGCTTTACTTTGTCACAAAATCCATACGGCTCTCCATCTCCAGTGAACAGTTTCGCATACTTTGCGCATAACTCGTTAACGTTAGGTTTCTTGGCCGAGACGTCCGTTGGGACACAGCGGCAGGCACACTCTCAATAAATTGCGACGCCAACAATTGTGCCTCCGACTCCTCATCGATATTCGGCAATGCACGGCGCAGCAACCTTGTCAGTCCCACAGCAAGCACCAGCGGGTCACCATCAGCCGACTGCGTCACCAACCGGAACTTTCGCTACGCCTCCTCCCTGTCCACCGGGCTGTCGAACTCGGTCATCAGCCGCTCAATGACCGCCTCCCATGATGTCTTCCCGCCAGCACCGTCCAGGCTGTCATATACGGCCTTCGCCCTTCCTCTCAGCAGCGTTCCCAGCACCACCAGCTCCGCCACGGCCTCAAACTCCTTCAAGAAGCTCCGCACATCCCCGTCCTTAAACTCCTTCGGCCATGGAATCTTCATCCTTTGCGTGAGCAGCGACACCAAATGTATTGAATGAGAACACAGGTGGGGCAACCGAATTGTATTTAACGAGAATTACAGAGTTACTCAGTAAAATCGGAAAACCATATCGTAAATTGTTCATTTGCAAAAGATCAGTTCATCCTATGGAACTGGACTGTTCCTGTTGCCAAACATCAATCCATTGTCACTATTCATGCGTTTCATACAAATTCCATTGTTTTCTAACTCTTCCTTTCTTGATCTTCCCCCCATATTATGCTACCAGACTTTACGTTGACACTCACGTTATATACTACCTAGAAGTAGTTCGCACCACAGCACCACAGCTATGCTGAATGTCATCACCACCAATCAAACTATCATCATACAATTTATTTTCACATTTCAATGTTTGTTATGTGGATTGTGTGACAATATACTATACAGTAAGTTGGGAAATTGAATGGAAGAAACTCATATTTCTTATGTAAGGTTTACATAATTTGAATCAAATACTGGAAAATAATAAACACCTGATAAACTTTTATTTAGATTCAATAAATCAGTACACTGTTTTCCATTCAAATTTGATAGTATTTTACATAGCAGTAAGTTGAATATAGTTAGCCAATAATGAGTGGCCAAATGAAAAAATCATTTGATGACCAGTATATATATCCAAAAGGACGAATGCATATCATTGGTCAAGAAAATGATTCACCTTCTAAGGGAACGGAATATATATATATATATATATATATATATATATATATAGTTACGTATATGATTCGGTAACCCAATAGACTTTCTGTTGCCTTCTTGTTCGAGTAGTTAGTTTAAGGGATTAGTAAGTATCTGTGGTGTTTGAATGAACTAGTAACTTCTTGTTGTTGTCGAATGCTTGATTTCGAATTCTAAATACAATACATTCGTTTGTGCATATCTTTAGTTCTTGATTCACATACTTCTAATTATCACACTGGCGTCGCGATGGAACTTGTAATGGAACAGCTAGATATTCATTCTACTTCTGAAGCTTTTGAAGATTATTTGGAAAGGTTTGAAATCTGGAGTATGACCAGGAAAGATGTCAAAGATGATAAAATTGTGGCTCATTTCCTAACATTCATCGGAAAAGAAGCGTACAGCTTATTAAAAACCTTGGCATATCCAGAAAAACCTATTTCACTTCCCTATGCAATGCTAAAGGAGTTATTATTGAATCATGTAAAGTGCCCTGGTTTTGAATGCCGTGAAAGAGCGAAATTTCATAAGATGATTCGTCAAAATGACCAAAATGTTAAGGAATTCATTCTTGAATTGCAGAAACAAGCTGTCAAATGTAATTTCGGTGATCAACTTCATGTGCAGCTGAGAGACCGATTAATTGCAGGAATTAACATACCTAGTTTGGAAAGAGAGCTGTTAAGAATGTCAAACTGTTCCTTTCAAGATGTTAGAACTGCGTGCATTAACTACGAGGCGTTGAATGAACTTGATATTCAGTCGATGAAGATTTCCAATACTTTGATTAGTTGTCATGATGAAAAACAATCTCAGGGTCAATCAAAATTGTGTTCGTTTAACAGAGGTTCCGATTCTCGTGTAAATATGAACGGTGTCTCAAAAAAGAATTACAAAGGAAATCACAAAGGTGAGACCAAGTTTGGCAAATGTTTATCATGTGGAAAACTTCATTCTCGTCATTCTTGTACATTTCGTAATGCTAAATGTTTTAGATGTGGTAAGATAGGACACATTCAACTAGTATGCAAAGCTACTGTTCATTTTGCCTCAAGTAGTACTAAATCTTGTAATTTAGATTCCAATAATTCAGCTGATCCTAATGATCATTTATCTTTAACTACCATTTCGAAAGGTAATGCTCATATTCAAAAGCGACTATATACATCGCTTGGTTCATGTCATGACTTTATTGTGGACACAGGCAGTATAGAGTCCATTATTTCATTCAAGAACTTGAAATCGTTAGATCCGAACGTTGTGATACGACCCACTGATGTATCAATATTGGGGATTACTGGACACAGACTGCCTATACGAGGATGTTGTGAATTGCTAATAAGAGATGATAATTCCTCATACATACCTTGTGAATTTTTAGTTAGTGAAACAGGACTGTCAATACTGGGTTTAAAGAATTTGAGAAGACTTAAAGTGGAGTTGTCTTTCCTAGTTTCTAAAGAAAATTCTGATGCTTTACTTAAAGATTTGATAGCCACGTGTGCTAAGTGCAATGGAAGTATGAAAACGGTTCAGCACAGGAGTGCCAAACAAATTCAACATGTTGACTACATTTCTCGACAGTCATTACAAGATAAACCTGTTAATACTTCAGACTGTTTGTTGGTGCAATCTTTACCAGTGAAACGTCCAGATCTCATTAGAGAAACTCGTAGAAACTTTGGATGTATAATTAATGCTATACGGAAAGGTTGGAATGCCAATCTGAAACGCAGATTCCCTATCTATTTTTCAAAGCGGGATGAGCTATCCACTACTCCTGATGGTATTTTGTGTTTACATGATCGGGTTGTTATTCCTCCTTCATTGCGTAAAGCTGTCCTGGAAGATCTTCATAGTGGACATTTAGGTGTTGAGAAAATGAAGTCCCTGGCGAGGCTCACGTGTTGGTGGCCAGAGATAAATGCAGATATTTGTCGTACAGCAAAGAATTGCGAAAAGTGTCATAAGCTGAAAAATCAGCATTCGAAGTGGATTGATTCTATTGCCGCCTCAACATTTAATGAGCTGGAGAGGGGAGTAGATACCTTTCTACTGCAATATAGAAATGCCAGACATTCGGTGACGAAAGAGACTCCATCAAAACTATTAAAAGGAAGAATTCTTCGGTCGAATATGAGATGTTTGGAGTCTGCAGAAGTTACATATTATCGTGGCAATGATCTTCGACCATCCATGGGGATCGTTCTGAAGAATGTCGGGAAATCTATGGTGCGACTTCTAGATATCAATGACTTAAGTACACACAATCGACATGTTGATCAAATACAATTCCAAGAACCAGGTGAGTCTGTTCCAATTTCGGTTGTTAATTCTAATACTAATGAGAGCATTCTAGATAATACAGAGCCTTTATCCAATACACTGTCGGACAGACACAGGATGAATTTGAGAAGAAGACGTACAATTGATTACAGACATATACATTCCAATTTAAGCTGTGGTGGATGTGGTGTTTGAATGAACTAGTAACTTCTTGTTGTTGTCGAATGCTTGATTTCGAATTCTAAATACAATACATTCGTTTGTGTATATCTTTAGTTCTTTATTCACATACTTCTAATTATCACAGTATCATTTTCAGATTTCGGCGAATGGACCTCAGGACGAAGTCATAATCATTTTATTATAAACTTGTAAACAAATAATACATTTTTTTAAAAATCACTGGTTAGTTTGAACAGTTAAATCACAATTGTAAAACAACAGAAAACTCAATGAAACTGATTAAATAAAATTTTTCATGTGAAACAATGATTAATTATTATCAACAAGTATAATATCAACCTCTGCCTTTTTCATTTGATTTAAGCTACCATATTTCATAATCAATATAAAATCTAAGACTCAGTTGTCGTAACACAATATAACATACCAATTTGATTCATACACACACATCAGTCACAATTAAAAAACCATCACATCAGCAAATCGATAATGAAATTATCAAGATCAACCTTAGAATAGTGGAAATAGTTCAAGGTATCTATCATCTATGCCGATAGAAAATACTTAAAACATAACTAATATGATTAAACAGTGAGATATATTCATACATTATGAAATATTGAAAAAAAAGTGGATTTAATGATTGAAAAAAAAACTCAACATCTGTGATGATGTTATATATAATATTATATAAAGGCTCAGATTTCTCTTTACACCTGTTACCCATCCAGCTAGCTAAATACCCATATCGGGTTAAACATAAACACAACTCAAATTAAAGGCATATACGATTAGTCTGACCATTAATATGTGTATATTATTAGTCAATAATCAGTAACCAACAATTCATAGACTAAGATAGCAAGAGTAGGGGGGGGACATATACATGTCACATTACAAATACCTGACTGTCTCTATATCAATATTTTTTGTCTAGATAAATATAACCAATCACAATTTTCATTTTGGTCATAAACAACAACACAAGGAAGTAACATCATTATGATGACTGATTCTGAGTCATTGCATTCAACTTCTTCAACCTTAGATAATAATTTGCATTTACTTTTGATGATCCAGTTCAGTGGTCAATAGCGACATTAAAAGAGAATAACTATCATATTTTGGTTTGACTATCTCTAACTAGCTCACCTCAGTTTTCTGTTAGTATACTCTTTCACACACATCAGAATAAGCAATGATTATTCATCTAAGTACATATCGTAACTATATTCATCAACAGAGATGCTTCAGAATTACCTCGAATGATACACATTGAGCCTAACTTGAAACAAGGGCAATGAAATTAATTTCAACTATTTATGTCAATAATGAATGTTCAATGCATCATTTCAATGGAACTCAAGCATCTTCACATCTGTATAAATTGGAAAATCACAAAATGTGCTCACAAGTGAGTGACTAGCTCCGTGAGGAAATTCTAACAACTCTAGTGAGAAGTCGTGACCAATAGAGTTTAACCGATTGTTGGGTGAGAGATGGTTACCCACTAAAGACAACGGGTGATTGTTGCACAAGACCATAAGATTGATCGGAGTTAGACATTAACACAGCTCAGTGGTGTAGAGGTTAAGCGTTCATGCACAACACCGAAGGTCCAGAGTCCGATTCCCGGAAGTGTGTGTATTGGATACACACTTCCACTGACGAGTCCTATACTTGAACGAAAGAGCTGCCCTTTTCTTCTAGGTTTCTAAAGGTATTCTAACATCGCAAGGATTTATCATTTCCATGATAGAATAAAACATTGGACAAAACAGTTCAAATAAAATAGAGCGAAACTATGGTCAAAAGATCAGGTCGTTTGGCACAACACTTAATTCATAAGAATGAAATAGAAATCAGAAGACTAGTTCTACTGTACAGTGGATAGTAAAGTAGAAACTTAACAACTGTTTCATTCCAATATGGGATTTCTCAAGTACTGGTGTACACCCCTACAGTCCCACTGAGAATTGAAGAAGTCAGGACCTACAGATTTTATCAATGAAAATAGTTACAAATATTTTACACTTAATATCTTTGAAATCCACAAATTACAACTGGTTATTCATTATAACTTTGAGCAATAGACTGAATCGTACCAAGAATAAAGGTGTATAGCAATAACTAAGGTTTATTAAGTGAAAACTAACTAACTAACTAACTAATAAACTAGTTAAGAGACACTGTTACATAATTCTCTAATAAACAGTCACGTAAACATATACACAGAGAAGAACACAAACACATGCCAGAGTTGAATATATACAATGTACAGAAGAAACAATGCTTCCCAATAGAAATCAAACTTATGCGCGCACACACACACACGCACACGTACACAATGTTACGCTCTCTCTCTCTCTCTTTCTTTACAAAATAAAAATCAGTCCCTAAATCAATAATTCTTGTCTGAAAATCAGCAATCGTAATAACAATTAATCAATATGATGTCATAATTTAACCCATAAACAGTCGTCTACTGTATAAAGAAAATGAATACCTATATATATATATATATACCACCTTAAACAGAGGCACTCTCTCTCTCTCTATCTTCCTCTTAAGTGGTATACACATATACATAGAGTGATAGAGAGAGAGCGAGTGAAGAGTTTAGTGATGAAAAAGAGGGAGCCATGAAGACAAATTGAAAGAACTGGTCAGAATAGAGGAAGTGTGTGTATGCGTGTGTGTGTGTGTGTGTGCTTGCATGAATGTGTACACGTCCACACACAAACACCATAGACAACATCAGTCTGACCAACACAAATAGGTAAACAAACAAACAAACAGAAAAACAAGTAAATAAGTAAATAGATGAACAGACAAAGGAAGAGGAAATAAGAACAGAGGAAGGACTGGATCTATGTGTATATATTTGGATGGATAGATAGGAGGTGATGAAAGAGCAGGAAACAACACAAGGCAGCAGCAACTGTTTGTATTAGAGAAGAAGAAATTACAGATGATAAAATAATCATGATAATAATAATAATAGCAATAATAATATTATAAAAAGAATGACATTGGAATCAATAGGGAAAACTTGAAAACAAGAGTAACACAACCGTCTAGACACTCGTGTACGTGTGTGTGGGTGTGTGTGTATGTGTGTATATATGTGGGCACGATGATTTTCAAGAGTTCCTTTCGCCCATTTTGTTGTTATTATTATTATTATTATTATTGTTATTATCATTTATTTTGCTCAAGGACATGCGCGTACAAGTACACACGTACACACACGCACTAAACACACATACAAGCAAACAAACGTCTAGCCATAAATTTTATGAAACTCTATTTCCAGGAGAAAAAAATTCAATTATACACAACAGTAAACAGAATGAAAGATCACAAAAAAAAATTATTATTTTCATAGACAAATTTCACAGTTCTGTCAAAAAAATTCTTTTTTTCAAGTAACCAGTATGCAAAAGAAAGTATATGGTACACGTGTGTTGTATATGAAGAACCGATTGAAATTAGTTATTTATTGAAAGTCCAAAACGAAATAGTTATCTCAGTACTTCCTGGGTTTTTTTGTTTGAAAGAATATTTCACTTGATTACAATGGTGATATCAATAACATTCCATAATCATAATAAATTTGTATGAACACCAGCACTCACACAAACACACACAGCATGAGTTTGATGATTATCATCTAACGAAGCATGTCAGTCAGTCAGTCAGTCAGAGTAACAAAGAAGAACTTCGTATGTACATTGCCATACAACCAACCATATTAGCACAGAGATGCAGTTTTTAATTCAAATCCCATAGTAGTAGAGATAGTAAAAGTATTAGCACCAATGGAGAAGATTAGGATTCGAAGATGATATTCATTCAAGAAGTATAATCCATTGGAATAAATTTAAGCAGAGAAACTACTTATTTTAAATAAGTAGTATCAATAACCCCCCCATTGTAAGCGAAAAATACACAGGCTATTTTGTGCTCCGTTTAAGAAGCGCCACACATATATATATATATATATATATATATATATATATATATATAAATGTATACATGTTTACGCCATATTTGTATTTACGTGTCTCATTCTAAAAATACAAACACTTTATTTCACAAAACAAATATTATTTTCTGATCCAATTTTATTAAAACCTTAAATGAAATTATCGATCAGCTGAGTGGTTTGTCTTCTCATACAACCAACCAATCAATCAATCAATCAATCATTCATTCCTCTTAGTCAAAACAATAAGTAAGTGATTAAATAAATAGGCAAGTAGTAAGCAATAAAATAAGTGATTGAATAAATGGTATACGAACAAAAAAACACCACGTGTTATTGTTATTTTAAAAAAAATAAAGCTTTTTCATTGATGTATAAATTCTATGGTTGTTAAGATGAAGAAGCGGAGAAAAACAAAACAAAACAAAACAACAGAGCAAGAAAGAAATCAATAACAATTGGATTTCTCCTAAGATGATAAGATAAATGAGATTTTGCAAGTTATTCTGTAGATCCATTTTTCTGTGTTTTGCTTTTTTATGGTGATATTACTTACTTACTTACTTTACTTACGCCTGTTACCCCCAATGGAGCATAAGCCGCTCACCAGTTTTCTCCAACCAACTCTGTCCTGGGCTTCCCTCTCCAGTTCTGTCCGATGTTTGTTCATTCCTACGCTACAATCTAATACTGATACTATAACTTCTGTGATATTTATTGATCAGTTTTTGATCATGGTAGAATTCAACTAGGTTGATGAGTAGGAGAGATAGTTGTTAGCCATCACAGGTAGTAATGAAGATAGTCACGTGATATTGTGAAGTGATTGGAGCTAAACATACATATCATTTGATATAGGTTCAATGGTTTGAATATTAAGTGTTTGTATGTCAAACCGAAGATCCTAAATTCCATTCCTAGTGTAGGAGGTTAATGAATGCACAGTACTGAAGAGTCCCATTCTGGAATCAAATAGTTGTTCAATACTTTCAGGTTTTCAATAATTGCTTAACTAAGATTAATCTGAGATATAAACTATGAAATTGAGAAAATCTTCATAAATTTCCCCTGTCAATAGGAATCAATCAATCTTTATGATGGGAGTCCAGTATGTGCAGTGTATTTGATCAGTTGTTTAGTTGTCATGTTTTTCTGACCTGAAATTTATTGGTAAGTTAGTTTGATAAATTGATTTGACTAATCATATTGATTGCTGAGTAGGAGTTATGATAATTGCGAAAACCTTAAGGTTATCTGTACAAAGCAATACAATCTAGTCTACACAACACAGTCAGTCAATGACTTTATGGACACTAATCACATATCTTTGTGTTGACGCCAATCCGTAGCTTCCTACCAAGCTACATCTATCTTACCAAACACTGACCATTTAAGTACGTGGTGATTAGAGCATGCTTAATATATATGATATACATCTCAAGGTATAATGACTGACAATTTCAACTGACTATTTATCTTTATCCAGTACCCTGCATAGAACGTTGTATTGGTTTAGTCATTTGGTGTTCCCAGAATATAGCAGTAATTATTCAAAGATATTAAAGTACATGGGATTTTCATCATGCTAGTACAGTTATTATTATTATTCGTTTATTTTGTTAGTTTATTACACACACACACACACACACACAGATACATACATAAATACATTACAAGGAAACAAGTACAAGAGCGTAAAAACAAAAATATCTATTATTATTATTATTATTATCATTATTATTTTTATTTTTATATTCATTCACTTACACTGCTCGTTTAGCTTTACGTCTTTGATATTCACTTTCATCAACAACCCAAACTGATCCAGAAGTGGTTTCCAATCGTCGGAAACATTTATGTAATGATAAATTATGCCTTACAGCATTCTGTTAATATAAAGAACAGAAAGAAATTTTTTTAAACTTTTTCATACATAAAAAAAAATAAATAAATAATAAACCAATAGCAAATATTTGAAGAAAAAAACAAAACAAGTTTTATCATACATATGAATTGTAAAATTAAAGAGTAGCTTGCCCCCGTCTTCAACATTGCGCTCATCTACAACCTCACTCACTATAAATGGTTAAAATTTAAACAATTGATTTGGCAAAATTAAAAAAAAGTTATAGAAAAATAAACACGTAAACCATTGGATATAAATAAGCTCAATGATATAGAGGTACAGTGTGCATGTGGTAAGAGACTGAATGTTTTAGGTTCTATCTCTGGTGGTGAGGACGTGAACGAGTACCGCCGGGAATTTCCATTATAGGAAGGAAGCAACTTGTCAATATTACTGAAGTTATGTATCGATCAACGTTAGATTATCATTAGAAACCTAGAATTGCTGGATGGCCGTTTAGTCCTAGTATGAATTTTTGTGCTGGCTAGAATATTACCCACATCATGAAACACATATTTAAAATCCAATGTTGAAGATCACATTCAAACACGAACGGTCCTGACTAAGACTTGATCAACTAAATGCTATCATCTTGAAGTATTAGACAAAAAAGACAATGATTCATGCTCAGTGACTACTAATCAATCAAGGCATATATATATCTATAACAGAATTCCGGCGATTGTTTTCTTTGTAAAATGAAACTGAATGGAAAAAAACCAACAAATAAATAAATAAATAAATAAATAACTTACTTTCCATGTAGCTTCATTTTGTCGAAAATAGGCAAACTCACGTTGTAACCATACATAAATTGCACTCAAGGATAATTGTTGTCCTGGTGATTCCAATATAGCTTGACGTATTAAATTAGCATAAGTGAATCTGGGACGTGCACAATGCGATCGATAGTATTGTCTTTGAGCTAATGATGTGTTATTGTTATTATTATTATTATTATTATTACTTGTGGTTGAACTAGTACCACTCGTATTAGACGTTGTTGATGTTGTTGTCGCTGGTGTTGTTATCATTGTCCCTGTGGTTGACGCTGTTAGCAAACAAGAAGTCCCTGTTGAAGCTGCTGCTGCTGCTGCCGGTACTACGAGTACCGATGAGGATGAGGATGATGATGATGATGATGATGAGTATGGAAGATTTTCACTTGTCATGATTAACGAATTTTCAGAATCCATAGCTTCTGGTAAATTACAATGAACTTTATGGGGTTGGGGTGAGAAAGGAAAAACACAAAGGAAAATCAATTAATAAAGGTTTGGACTGAAACCATAAGTCAGAAACCGAATAGAACATACTAAATATATATATGGATCAATAAAAATGGCCATACTATTTCAGCACAAATAGATTTAATTATCAAGGAAAATGCCCCGTTGGGAGAAGTAGTAGTAGTAGTAGTAGTAGTAGTAGTGTGGTGCGAAAAGTTTCATATACCAAGATGAAACAACTCACTAGTTCTTCCTAGTTTCCAGTGTTTGTCTATCTTAGATCAGTTTGTAATATCAATAGCATTCAATAATCTCTACAACTCCTTACTACCAATATTACTACTGTGGTGTGAGCTACTTATAAGTAGTATATGATGTGAGTGTCAACGTAATGTCTGGCAGCATAATATGGGGGAAGATCAAGAAACGAAGCGTTAGAAAACAATGGAATTTGTATGAAACGCATGAGTAGTGTCATTGGATTGATGTTTCGCAACAGGAACAGTCCAGTTCGATAGGATGAACTGATATTTTGTAAATTAACGTTTTACGATATGGTTTTCCAATTTTACTGAGTAACTCGTTAAATACAATCCGGTTGCCCCACCTGTGTTCTGGTTCACAACAGTAGTAGTTCTTACGGATAAGTAGGAAGAAACTAGACATCGGTATGATAATTCATGAAGTAATCATATTTAAGACATCAACCGTAATACTTTCATTAAGTTTAGCAATTAAGAAAGAGCATACATAGAAAGGTTTTGTCAGTACTGTTATATGTTCAATGATAGAAACGTCCAAAGTTTTTAGCATGTTAATAAAACTTTAAGACCATAATTTATTTTGAAATCGTGAATCGGTCGGTATAAGACACCATTAGAAATCTGAAAGCATTACACGACCACCCTATCCTGTTATGGGAATCATCATCACCACTCCCAGGACTCTCAGTCAATTGCGCGAACGTATAACCTCTGTGCCACTGAGTCAGCATCCAACACTGCTGATGTTTAATTTCGACCAATCCATGGTCTTGCGCAACCTTATTCACTGTCTTAGGTGAGCACTGCTTCTTAAAGCTCATTACAACTGTCAACCAACAGCAGTCACAATTTTCACTACAAAATGCAAAATGTTACTCTAAGAGTGCGTTGCATCGGCAGCTGAACTAATGATAAGGAGGGAAGTAGTGTGGCGTGTAGACCGTTTCCCTTATCTCTGGAGTGTCATTAGTGCTGTCGGCCTGATGTGTGACGAATTCTCATCTCCAATAAAGAGGGCTCAATTGGTTTTTGCCGATTTGCCTCATTTATAGCGTAAGCGAGATGTTTGTCTGCTAACCAAAGGATGAATGTACTGCGCAGCAGTTCGCTCTGTCCTACCATATGGCTGTGCAGCATGGCCGTTAAGAGTTCAGAATATTCGTAGGTTATGAGTATTCGATTATAGGCATCTTCAGAGCATTGCTCGCGTATTCTGGAATAATCGAGTAAGCAATGCTGTTGTTAGGAAAATGGTACTATGCAAGGATGGCTAATCAGTTGGTGAAGTAGGAAATTTCGATTAGTTGTGGTGGTTGGAACATGTTTCACATATGCTCAACCACTGACTTCCTCAAGGAGTGATGTTTCATAATGTAGGAGTAGGTTGGGAGGTAGCTAGTAGTGGCCAATCCACAACATGGCAGAAGTCCATACAGTCATTGACGAGTGGACTTAGCCATGTCGGTAATTGTCGACTACCTGGTTGGGGTCCGCCAGATATATATGGTTAGAGACGCTGAATAACATGGCTCAAAACCGTTTGCAATGGTGCCGGTGCATTCATTCTTTGTGTTCTCTCAAATCCTAATCTTCTGGATTCTTCAACACCTCTAGTTTTGACTTTCTAAACTTTTCTCATTTAATCATACTTCTTGAATAATATCCTCTAATCCTAACCTCTCCGATTATTTCTAATTCCTTTACTACCTCTTCTACTATTGGATTTGAATTGACAATTACATCTCTGAGCTGGTGTGGTATGGTGACATGAACTGATGTACTTACGTACGAAGTTCGACATTGCTTCTGACTGACTGACTGACCTAGCATTTTCAAGGTCGTTTCTGCATTCATTGTCCAAGGCCATCAGTATAGTGTAATAATTCACAATTCTGATGAAAGCTAAGTCTGTCCATGGAAAGAATGTCGGATAAAGAAAATCCTACTTCAATAAAAATGATTAACTGACTAGGATATGATAATATCGAAAAAAAATATTCAAAATATTCAAAAAAAAAACAGTAGTAATTACAAACAATTTTTTTTAAAAAGATATACAAATTATGTAAGTTGAAGTATTTATTCTACTCTATCATAATAATTCAGCTTTCTGAAATATGTACTAAGTTATTTTATGAACATTTTGCTGACTAGTGAATAGCTTCAAGATAAAACTCTTGAAATTCTAATATGAAGTTGTAACCAGTGGGATTAAATTACTTCAGATAATGGAAGATTGAAGTTAGACATGTAAACCAAAGGATTCCAGTATAATGTTTTAGAGGTTAAACGGTAGCATGCTAGTGTGAACGTATTGATTTCAATTGGCGGATGAGGAGTCAAGGATTCATAGTACCAAGAAGTTTCATACTAGGACGAAACGACTGGCAAGTACTACCAGGTTTACAATGATATTTCAATTAAGACTAGTTTCACATTCAAACTACGATAATCAAGAAGTGTTTAAGAGGACGTATCAAGAGTACATAGAGAAAGTGTTAGGCTTCAAAACAAAATAGGAAACAAGCATGGTAAGTTGATCAATAAGATTGTGAATTCCCATCAGTCGAAGCGTCTGAAATAAATTTTTCAATATAAAAGTGTTGGCATTAGAGGCACTGTCTACCTCAAAGGCAATGTGATCAAGTGTAAGGGTAAGTTGGAAGAAAAAGTATAGTTGATCAAATCAAAATGTGACATAAGTTCGTCAAGTCGCTGACTGCTTGTCCAAGGTTATAATACATACTTATCCAACATGAATGTCAGTTAGTTAGTTAGTTAGTTAGTCATTATCTGTATAGGACTTGACTGCAATGTACACCAGTTATCCATAGCATTATGCCTGACACCTTGAAAATAATGGAAACAATAATTTCGCCTAGAGCCTTTTTATTGGTTAATGTCGGTTAGATATGGGGTTAGTAGGCCGATCTCGTGGAAAATAACCTTGCTATAAAACCCTAACCAGCCAAACAATTATTTGAACCAAATGACTCATGGCATCCGGAATAGAAAGCAGACATTAAAATAATGAATAGCACAGACTTTTTGGTCCACCGTCCACAAGCTATGAGAAATAACAAGTGTAAGTAAGTATTTGTGAATAATTCTCAGCCATACCACTGACCGAGGTTATCAGGCACACCATGAATAGATAATCTTCATGTATAAAATAGCTCTAACTAACAGTCACTGACTTCAGCAATCGATGCCACGTTCTGATATGACCATCACAGTGCTTTTTTGTATTGTTCATCAAAACAGATGGTAACTGGGGAACATAAATAACAATTTTAGCACTATATCATCTGATCTTCCACTTTTTCCAAATACCTTAAACTTAAGCACGAACATGATTCACCCAATCGTTTCATGAAACTCAAAAATAATGCTTAAAACAGATATACAGGAGTACATGGGAAAAATGAAGTTAACAAAGAAATCATTTATTTACAAACAGATGAAAGAGAGAGAGAGTGAGAGAGCAAGAGGAAGAAAACAAAAAGAGAACTTTGTTTTCTGATTACTTACTTACCTATACGTCATATTTTAGAATAATAATAATAATAATAATAATAATAATAATAATAATAATAATAACAATCATAGGAGGAAAACAATGACTACCACAACAACAACAATAATAATAACAAAAACAACAACAACAACAATTATCGAAGTTAAAAGAAAACAAAACTGATGATGACGTAAACATCATCATCATCATCAACAATCACAAAATAAGATGACATTCATAATAAGCATAATTATAAACACAGTCATAGTGTAAACAAATACAAATTATCCGATATTCTTATTTTGGTAAATAAAAACTAAGACTAGTTGAATTGGATTTTATTGTGTAAACGTCAGCAAACAATAATAACTGGTAGTAGAAAATAATAATAATAATAATAAAGGAAATCTCCAAACAAACCAATATATTGAGAAATAATCACCATCGATGGTCTTCAAGTCAGTCAGCTACAGTGTAGAGTGTGCGCAGTACAGGGATCAGTTCAATTTACCACGAAACCATATTAGCACAGAGAGATTGAATTTTCAATTCGAATCCTATAGTAGTAGATGTAGTAGAAGTATTATTAGTGGCAATAGAAGAGATTAAGGTTCAAAGATATTATTCAAGAAGTATAATTCAGTGAGATAACTTTAGAAAGGGGAAGATAGAGAGAGGTGATGAGGAATTCAGAAATAATGGATACATCTGCGTCATTGAAAACAATCTTCAGCTATGTCATTCAAAGGCTTTAATCATCGGTTACTATCATCTCACGGATGCCAACCAAGTAGTCTACACCTACCAACATGGGTCAGTCCATTTGTCAGTAACTTTACGGATTTGTACCATGTTTTGGTTTGGCCGCTCCTAGCTTTCTTCCAGCCTATCCTTACACACCAGGCCTCATCGTTCACCGATGGTTGGGCACATCGATTGTCTTCAGTTGGAACTATCTCACACTTAACACAGTTGAACTCCACTGATCATGGCTTCTCACTAGAGAACTCTGACAATTTTTTCATGAAGTTTGTCACTAGTGTGTATATGATTTTCATCATAATATGCTTTCCCTGCAATATAAATAAACTTATGTTTTGTTTGTTTCTATTCAATGAAATATATAATGAAACATTTGGGATTTGTCATGTATTAATCTCCATCAGTTCTTAATGTAGCATATGTGAACTTCAGATTTTTAGTGTAATAA